AATTGCTAAAATCAGAAATGAGACAGGAGACATGACCACTAATGCCAAACAGGACATAAGGGATTGTAAGATACTACCATGAACAGTTACACACCAACGAATTGGACAACCCAGAAGAAATGGATACATTCCTAGAAACACCTACCTAGAAACCTACCAAGACTGAATCATGAAGAAATAGAAAATCTAAACAGACCTATAACTTGTAAGGAATCGGTAATCAAAAACCTCCCAACAAAGAAAGACCCGGGACCAGATAGCTTCACTGGAGAATTCTACCAAACATTTATTTTTATTTTTTTTTATTTATTTTTTAACGTTTACTCATTTTTGAGAGACATAGAAAGACAAAGCATGAGCATGGAAGGACCAGAGAGAGGGAGACACAGAATCTGAAACAAGCTCCAGGCTCTGAGCTGTCAGCACAGAGCCCGACGCGGGGCTTGAACTCACGGACCGCGAGATCATGACCTGAGCCGAAGTTGGACGCTTAACCAACTGAGACACCCAGGTGCCCCTCTACCAAACATTTAAAGAAAATTAATGCCGGGGCACCTGGGTGGCTCAGTCGGTTAAGCGGCCGACTTCGACTCAGGTCATGATCTCTCGGTCCGTGAGTTCAAGCCCCTCGTCGGGCTCTGTGCTGACAGCTCAGAGCCTGGAGCTTGTTTCAGATTCTGTGTCTCCCTCTCTCTGACCCTCCCCTGTTCATGCTCTGTCTCTCACTGTCTCAAAAATAAATAAAACATTAAAAAACAAAAATAAAGAAAATTAATGCCAATCCTTTCCAAACTCCTCCAAAAAATTGAAGAGGAAAAAACACTTCCAAACTCATTTTATAAGGCTAGAATTACCCTGATACCAAACTAAGACAAAGACACTACAAGAAAAGTACATATCGATATCCCTGACGAATATTAACACAAAAATCCTCAACAAAATACTAGCAAATTAAATTCAACAGCACATTAAAAGACTCGTACACCATGACCAATTGGGATTTATCCCTGGGACTCAAGGATAGTTCAACATACAAAAATCAATGAATATAATACATCACATTAACAGAATGAAAGAAAAAAACACATGATCATCACAATCACAGAAAAAAAATTGGACAAAATTCAACACTTTTTCATGATAAATACTCAATAAACGAGAAAAAGAAAGAACGTACCTCAACATAGTAAAGGCCATACATGAAAACACAGCTAACATCACATTCAACAGTGAAAAAACTGAGAGCTTTTCCTCTAAGATCAGAAACAGTTCAAGGACACATCCCTCACCACTTTGTTTCAACAAAGCACTGGAAGTCCTGGCTACAGCAATTAGGCAATGAAAGGAAATAAAAGACGTCCAAATGGGAAAGGAAGAAGTAGAGTCACCTCTGTTTCCAGACGTGATCTTATGTGTGCAAAACCCTAAAGACACTGTTAGAACTAACACATTCAACAAAGTTGCAGGGACAGAATCAACACTCAAAACTCAGTTGTGTTTCTATACACCAGCAGTGAAAAGTCCAGAAAAGGAAATTAAGAAAATAATCTCATTTACAGCATCATCAAAAAGAATAATAAACTTAGAAATTAACCAAGCAGGCAAAAGACTAGTACACTGAAAACTACAAAACAGTACTGAAACACAGAAGAGACAAATAAGTGAAAAGAAGCCCTGTGCTCACGGATTGGAAGACTTAATATCATTAAAATATCTACCTCACCCAAAGTGATCTACAGATTCAATACAATCCCTATCAAAGTCCTAAAGGTGTGGGTTTTTTTGCACAAATAGAAAAAAACTATCCTAAAGTTCATATGGAATCTCAAAGGACCCAGGTAGCATAAAAAACCTTGAGAAAAAGGAACAAGGCTGGAGGCCTCACACACCCTGATTTCAAAATACGTTACAAAGCTACAGTAATCAAAACAGTGTGGAACTGGCATAAAGACAGACATACAGACCAATGGAGCAGAATGAAGGGCCCAGAAATAAAGCCTCGCTTATTTGGTTGAATGATTTTCAACAAGGGCGCCAAGAGTACACAAGGGGGAAGGGCAGTGTCTTTACCAAACGGTGCTGGGAAAACTGGACACCCACACACAAAAAGAATGAAGTGGGACCCAGACCTCACACCACACACAAAAATTAATTCAAAATGGATTCAAAACCTAAACATAAGACCTGAAACCATAAAACTCCTAGAAGAGAACACAAGGGGAAATTCTCATGATATTGTAAGGGGCAATGACTTCTTGGATATGACACCAAAAGCAGGTAACAAAAGCAAAAATAGACAAATGGGATTGCATCAAACGTTAAAACTTCTGCAGGGCAGAGGAAACCACAGGGTGAAAAGGTAGCCTACGAGAGGTGAGAAATATTTGTAAACCATACGTTGGACAAGGGTTAGTAGCAAGAATACACAAGGGGGCGCCCGGTTGGCTCAGTCGGTAGAGTGTGCCACGACACTTGATCTTGGGGTTGTGAGTTCAAGCCCCACGCTGGATGCAGAAATTACTTAATTTTTTTTTTTAATTTAGACAATAAAATAAGAAAATACAATCTTTTTTAAAAAGAATGCATAGGGGTGCCTGGGTGGCTCAGTCGGTTAAGCGTCCGACTTCAGCTCAGGTCACGATCTCCTGAGTCCCAGGCGATGTCAGGGCTTCTGGGCACGATGGCTCCAGAAAAGAGCCTGGAGCCTGCTCTGATTCTGTGTCTCCCTCTCTCTGCCTCCCCTGTTCATGCTCTGTCTCTCTCTGTCTCAAAAATAAATAAACCTTAAAAAAAAATTTTTTTTAATAAAAAAAAAAAAAGAATGCATAAAGAACTGCTACAGCTCAATATTAACAACAACAAAGCACAAATGACCCAGTTTAAATCAAACCCTAGAGCTGTTTATGAGATGGCAAAATGATGCAGCCACTACGAAAACAGGCTCACTGAAAATGTAAAAATAGAACTTTACTACCTTCCAATCCACTTCTAGGTACACACCCAAAAGAATTGGAAATAGAATCTTGAAGAGCTGTTAGTGCTCCCAAGATGTGAAAGCAAAACCAAATATCCATCTAGATGATGAAAATGTGGCAGATTAGAATAGGGCAGCCGTTAAAAGGAGACGCTGTCTTAGCAACAACAGAGATAAACCATGAGGACGTTACAATAGTGACACAAGCTGATCATACAAGGACAAATAATGGCATGATTCCATGTATCTGAGGCACCTAAGTACTAACATAGAAACAAGCGGAAGGGTGGTTGCCAGAGGCTGAGGTTTTTATTGATGAGGGAGTAGCGAGTTCCAGTCCTACAAGATGAGTCTTGAGACCCCGGCTGTGTAACAAGCATTGCAGACAGCAACACCGTGAGGTACACCCTGGTTGTTGAGGGTAAATTATACCCGCGTGATTTCCTGCACAATAGTGTATATTAAAGGCACCCCAAAAGGAAGTGTGAGGCAAGTTGTCCCCTGTTTAGTCTAGGCTGGCGAGCCCTCGAGAGGGACCTCTGGAAGCGGCTGGCGACCCTCGGGACAGGGGCACATGCAGCCTTCGGCACCTAACGGGGGGGGGTCACTGAGAAGGAAGGTGGGGACACAGACACCACGCATGACCACAGGCCTGCCCTGGAGCAGATTACCGCCCTACCTATAGCATGCTGAGGGATCTGTAAATACAGTTCAATGAAACTGCCTGTGCATCTTTGAAAACAAATCTGACTGTGGAGTGCCCCGTCCGAGGCTGGAATCAGGCCCCACAGACGGGGCTCATCACCTCCGGCCTTCCCAAGGGGACAGGTGCTGTGTGTCTCCCTGGCAAGGGGCTCCGGGCAGAACAGGGAGAAGCCAGCACTGTCCCCTCCAGCAGCAACAGGCTGCCACTTCCCTCAGCCCTTGCGCGGTCCAGCTCCCGGCCTCACCCGACCCTGCTTTCCTCACTGCTTCCCCATCCCACAGACTTCTCCGGGTGTTGGGTAGAAGCTGCTGATGGCGGCCTCAGGACGGCACTGCTACTCACGGCGTAATTTCCTGACCTCTCTGGAGTGGAGTGCAAGGGCTAGGGGACCCACTGGCAGCCTGGAGTGGAGGTCTGGAGTGGAGTGGGGATGAGGGCCAGAGGCAGTGGCGCATGCATGGCCTCTGGCCCTCCTGCGGAGGAGGAGAGGGGAGGCTGCTGCTGACCCCAGGGCTGCCAGCCTGGCCTGGCCGGGTGGAGACACGGGGGGGGGGGGGGGGGGGGGGGGGGGGGGGGGGAGGCGGGGGAGGCTGGGGTTTCTTTCCTTCTCTCTGCCTTGGGTCTCTTGGGGTGAGATTCCCCCTTACCTCCATTTGGGGCAAAGAACCACTCAGGAATGGGGGAGGTTCCGCAGTGGAAGGGTTTCAATGGGTGTCACAAAGGGACTGGGTGAGGGGTACAAACTCCAAATCCAGCAACTGTGCCACCCCATATCAGTGGTGAGCAGGAGGCCGAGTGAGGGCAGCCCTGTAGACTGTTCCCCTGACCCACAGTCCCCTGTCTTCTGTCCCCCAGCACACAGGCTGAGAGAAGAGAGGAGAGACTCTGCTCCTGCTTCCGAGGGGCAGGAGACCCCAAGCAGAGGTCAGGAGACACCCAGCATCAGGCAGAGCATGTGGCTGGAGGGTTGTTGGGCTAGGCAGGCTCCTTGGGGACTGGCAGCCTAAACCTCACAGAGGGAATTTGAGGGCCTGCTGGCTCAGGGACTCCAGGGCCGCACACAGAGTCCCCAGACCACGACACTCTGGAGGGGCCCATTCCCCTGTTAGAGTGCGTGCAGGAGGAAGCGGGAGGGGGGCCTGGGTGGGTGGAGGAGGCTGCGGGGAGCCCGGGAAGAGCACCAGGGGCTGAAGCGTGGAGGCTGAGGTGGGAGGGGTCCTCCAAGCTGCAGCTCTATGCCATCTACTTCGGCGGGATCAGATTAGCGATGGGGCCACATGTGATGCATATAAGACCAAGTACTCGTCAAAAGCTGATCGATTATGCTCGTGCGTTAGGGTTCTGGATGAGCTTGTCAGCAGCCTTCCGGTTACCTGTATCTGGAAATGAAGGGGAGGTGGTCAGCCGGTCTCTTTGGGAGGCGGCAGCCACACACAGTCCCAGGACCTCCCTGGTCAGGCCTCGGCACCCCAAGAGGACCGGGGCCTGGGCAGTGGTGAGCCGCTGGTTCGGGGGTCACTCTGAAAAGACAGAGGCCGCAGTGGGGAAGGACACCACACGAGGATCAAGACTGGGGGGGGCGCTGGTGGGTAGGCAGGGCCCTTAGGCGAGGGGACCTCACCGTCAGCATATGGTTAAGCTCTTTCTGAAGCATCTTCCGGAAGCTGCTTTTGCTGATCTTGTTCTTGACCAGACTGTGTTTAGACACGTATTTGTAGAAGTTTTCCACCAGGACCACGACGGCCTTCTCCAGCTCTGTGTAGCAGTCTGCCATCTCACTGCCTCACTCCTCGCGGGGCCTGGGCGACGAGAAGAGGGCAGGTGAGGAGACCCCACAGGCCAAATTCGGGGCCCCCTGCCCTCATCCTCCTCCTGGGCCCCTGGGCTGGCGGGTCCTCAGGGAAAAGGCGGCACCAGGGTAAGCCTGGAGTCAGAACAGCGTGGCTGCTCTGATACAGGTGCTCGCCAGCCCAACCGCCCAGGCAGGTTCTCCAGGCCCTGCCCCAGCCCCAGGCACTGGGCCTGTCAGAGCCCCAGTGAGAGCAGGAGGCTCCAATGGGAAGGGGGCAGAAGAGGGGCCCACCCCTCTGCTGTCTCCACAGCTGACCCACCCAGGGCCCCTGCCCAGGGAGCGCGCACAGCTAGAAACTGCTCGGGTGAGCCAAAAGGGCTGGGAGGCCGACAGCTATATCCCCCAGCCCCAGCATTGCCTGAGACCCCCGCCCCAGGCCACAAAGCAGGAACCTAGGCCCTCCTGAGTCCCTCCGGCCAGGCACCAGGGCAGGTTCTGCAGGAGCCCAGGCCATGGTTGTCCCTCTCTGGGAAAGGACAATGCACTCCCCCAAGGAGCCGGACTTTCGGCAGGCCCCCACCACACCTGCTAGCCTGCCCTCCCTCATACCCACCTGGAAACACACAGCAGGACTCGAGGACCCCCCCACCCCATTACCTAAAGAGGAGCCAAGCCTGCTTTTGCCCCAGCTGGAGACACAGCTGCAGCCAGCCAAAGGCCACACGCGTCACCCCCTCACCCAGGACAAAAGGCACTCACAGTCCAAGCGGATACAGCCTTCTGAATAACAGGATATGAGGGGAGCAGGCGGGTCTATTCTGTCAGTCGCCGCCCATGCCCAGAGCCCCCCCAAGTGAACCCCGGGCAAATGAGCCTCCCCTCCCGCCCCCAAGCCCAGGAATGAGCTGCAGCCACCCTGCCCGTTCGGTCCTGGCGAGGGAAGGTGGACACAGCCTCCATCCGGGCCTGAACATCCTGTGGCGAAACTCGGAAGACAGGTCGGCTTGGCCGGGCCTTGCCACAGCCCCGGCCCCTGCCCCCAGCACTCTGCTCCCCGGGTCCCACAGATGCCAGCCGACAGTAACAGGGCTCATAACTGCTGTGGGTCTGCTCTCCCCTAACCCTCTCCTTCCTTGAGGCAAGGCCAGTGTTTCTTACGTGCAACCATTGCGTTTACTGAACCAAAAGACGCGACTCATTGACTTGAGGGCCATTTTTTAAAATCCTAGGTAAACGCAAGCTCCCAGCTTTTAATTTCTGCACCTCCCTCGCCTGCACTGTCTGGTCCAACGGCTTCCTTAAGACAGATGTTCTATAACATTCTACCTCCTTCCAGCCCTGCTACCAGGTATCCAGTGACCCTGACCACCCTTCCAAGTTATTTCTTTTACGAGCCTCTTTCTGAAGGAAGGGTGTGACCCGGAGGGACTAGGCCCTAATGTAGGAAGGAAGGAGGATAGAGAGAGAGGAGCAGGCTGGGGCGTCTCCGACGGGAAACCTGCCCTTCCCTCCCTGCCTCACCTGCCTGGCCACTCTGCTCTTCACACAGAAGGATAAAGTATGGAACCAGGGCTACAGGAAACCCCATTCTTTCCCCCGCACTCTTCGTTTATGAAGTGTGTGACTGTGAGGCTCAATGTTCCTGCAAACACCCTAATACTCACAAGTGAGAAGTGAGGAAGGAAAAAAGTTCCAATCCATGAGACTGTTCTCTGCTGCCCTTGACTGGAGAGTGCTCCAGACCCAGGGCCAGAACCCTGGATTCCGAAAGCTGCACCCACTTCAGCAAGGACTCAGCCAAGCCTACTCCCAACCAACTTTGGGAGTGGGAAAAGGGTTCAGAGAACCACCGCCCCCCGCCCCCAACCCTTAACCATCCCAGACCTGTTCCCTAAGTGAGGAACCCTGCGGGGAAATAGTCCCCGAGAGGAAAGAGAAAGAAATGGGGCTGGGGGGCTGTGCCTCTGCCCCTCCCCCTGGCCCACCCGCCCTCCTCACCACGTGTCTTCTTAGAGTCTTGTCTCTCTGACCAGGGGAGCCTCCTCCGGCCCTCCTCGATCCAGGTCCCAGCCCCCACCTGGCCTCTGGCTGCCTGCCTCAACAGCCCAGGTTCTCAGTCCCCAGTAAGCAGTAAGCCACCCCCCACCTTCTTGGAGATAACCATCTGGATAAGCGCTTTTCCAAAGCTTTTTCTGAAGGAAGGATGTCAGAGGGGGCTAGTCAGGTGTCATTAGCCTCCTCCTCCCTCCTTCCCCTGGGGGCCAGGAGACAGGCTCTGCCACCACACCCACCCACAGGCACCTGCTCCTCCCTCCGACCAGGCCCAACCAGGCACCAGGCCCAACCAGGCGGGAGGGTCAAGCTGTCCCGTGAGCCTCTCCTAGGAAGGGTTGGCAGGAGGTAGGTCCTGGCCTGAGAGCTGGCGGGGTGGACATGTATATTAGAGCCTTCCCCAAAAGTGGGGGTTGGGGGACCACTTGTCCTCCAAAGGGCCCTCGCACCAGGAGCCCCCAGCCCTCCCCTAGTGTTTTCCTGGTCTCTTCCTTGGCTGACTCATCCTGGAGCAACCGAGAGGCCCCGCCCCCATCCCCGCCCACCTCAGCCCAGCTTGCCGACCTCTCCCAAAACCTCCAGGGCCCTGAGCCTTGCCCCTGGATCTTCGCCCCTGTAACCCCACCGCCCCACCCCAAGCCCCTTCAGTCTGGAGCCCTGAACACCCAGCACAGTCCCCCCAGTCCACCTTCTCTTCCCACCACACTCTCTCCGCTGGAATCCTGAACTGTTTCCAGGTGTTGTGAGACCTCCCTGAACTTCTGTGCCTCCTGGTCACCGTCCTCTCTGGAGTCTGGCCTGCCCCCAAGCCTACATTCGGCCTTCTCTGTGTCCCTTCCATCGACCTCAAACTCGTTCCCTCACTCCTCATCATTCATTTCCTGATTCATTCACTGATTCATTCATTCACTGAACTGGTTTTCTTGCTCACCCACTCCCTTGATTCACTCATTGGCCCCAACTGCCTTCAATATGCAGGGAAAGTGGCATCTGAACTGGGCCGGTAACTTGTCACTCTATTTGCAAGGCTGTTTCAAACTGAAGTCTCACCCAAGTGCCTCTGCCTCACAGGACTCACTGCCTGGAATTCACACATCTGCCCACCCGCTCCTGCTGGACAGGACAGGGTGTGCTCCTCCGGAACATTTTCCAGACAAGTGGGGTCGGACTGAGGTGTGGACACTCACACACACTGCGGGCCCTGGCCTCACCGACAGCCACCCCTCTCTTTACCAGCTGCGAGGAAGGCTGAGCCCCACTGGTCTGCACCTCCGGAGCTCCCTCCCGAAGCACCCCTGCCCTATCGGGCTGGGCACAGGCAGACAGTGCAGGTGGCCCTGCCAGGCAAAGCCAATCAAGCCACAGCCTGCCTGGGTCCTGAAGTGGAAACAAGCCTCCGGCGCCTGCCTCCTCTCACAGGGCCCTTCCCGGTTCCTCCTGGACCCCATCACCTCCCAAGACACAGATCCCAGAGCCGGCCCGTGAGGCCCACATCCAGGTCTGACCACCCCCAACCGCCCCCAAACACGCATTTGCCCTTTTTCTGTTAAGGGAGGGTCGGAGCAGCTGCGACAGAGCTCCTGAGCTCTCTGCCCCGTGGCCCAGGCCCTGGAGAAGAGCCCAGTCAGCGGCTGGGTTGGGGAGGGGGGGGGTCTCGCCACCCCGTCCACCCCTCTGAAGGCCTCCCCACCTCCCAACCCCACCGAAGTCTCCATTCCCAAACCAGCCTGCGGGAAAGTTAAAAATTAACAGACCCTTCCTGCCCAGTCTCTAGCAGGGCCCCCTCCCCAGGTCCTCCTCACCGCCCCCTTCCCCGGGGCCCCCCACGCCTGCAGGACCTCTCTGGCAGCCCCAGACCTCCCAGGACAGGCCTGGGGTGCTCACCTGCCTCCCAGGACTGCCTCCTCTCCAGCAGGGCTCTGGGGCCTGGACTCAGGCACCGCCAAGCGGCTCCCCACTCAGCCGGCCCAGGACTCCTCCCCGCTTCGCTCCCAGAATCTGTCCCACTCTGGCCGTGCCTGGCGGAGCTGGCTCGGTGGGGAGGTAGTGACTGAGCTCCCTCTGACTTGGCCCTGGGGTTGGGCCCTTGTTAAAGGGATACACACCTTTTTTAACACCCCTCCACCCCCACCCCAGAGGGAGTGGTGGAAGCTGGCAACCCCACAACCCCACCCTGCTGGCCCTGCAGGGCCTGAGCAGAACCCAGTCAATGGAGAAAGAAAGGGGTGTCACCTGCCCTGCTCACCTGGGTCACTGGGAGCCCAGTTTCAGGGCCCCCAACAGACGATTTCAGTTAGCATTCCAGGCCAGCCTGGCTGACCACAGACTCCTCCTTGCTGCTAGGGTTTCAGGAGTAATGCCTGATTTCTGTGGGCCCCAGTCAGAAGGCAGCAGCAAAACCTGGCCCCTGGTCTCCGTCTCCCCGTTCAGACCACCAGGAGCTGACGCCCATTCCTAGGACCTGTCATGTGCAGCAGAGGATTCTTCTGCACCCCTCCAGCCCTTCCCCAGTACGCCCAAGGAAACTGGCTAGTCAACATGTGGAGGCGGCAGCTGAAAGTGGAGGGGACCCACCCGACAAGGGAGACTCCAGCTCGGGGCACTCGCTCTGTGCCAAGCTCTCTGCTAAGTACTTCACGTGATGTGTCCATTATCCTCCTAACAAATCTGATTTATTTCAGAGATACTAATACCCCATTTGACAGATGAGCAAACTGATACTCTGAGAGCATGCCCAACACTCCAGAGATGGTAAGTGGCAGGGCTGGCTTCAAACCCAGGCGGGTCAGCCTGTTTCTCAGCCCCACGTTTCCCTTGCTGACGGTCGCCCAGGGAACACCCGGGGTCATAACTGTCTGGGGTCTTAACTGTCTCCCCAGGTGAGCACACATACCCTCTCCTCCTGGCAGAGGACCAGCCCCTTGGCAAAGAAGAGCCTGTCCTCCAGAGAGGACCAGCTCTCCAACTCTGGGGCGTGGCACCCATCCTCGACCCAAATCCATTCACTTCTGCCGCAGCCACTGCAGCCCCACGTGCCCTGTGCCACCAAGGGCTCTGCCACTCACCCAACCACCCCTTGCCCGTGGACTGAGGTAGGGCAGGTATCCAGTCAAGACAGCATCTTTCGCTTTTTCCGTTTGTTTTATTAATGACATGTTACAAAACAACCATCATTCTTTAAATGCCCAAGCACCGAGCTGGTCCTCTCCCAAAGTCACCCCCTCCTCAGCCTCCCCTCTCCAGCCTGCTCTCTCTCTTCCCCTGCCCTAGCCCAGGGACAGAGTCCTGGAAAGAGGCTGGGGCAGAGCTGGAAGAAGGAAGGCGTAGCACTGGACATAAGTTAGCATTTGGGTTGGGGAAGAGATAAGGAAGGCTAGGTTCTCAGAGACTCTTTTCAGTACCAAATATCCAGCTCCATTCCCCGCCCTCTTCTTCAAATCATATCCAGCAGCCCAGTTCCTCTTTGACCTTCCCCGCAACCAAATTACTTGGCCCTTAGCCCATCCTTATCCCTCCAGCATCTCGCCACATCCATCCCTGGGCCCAACCCATCCCCTGAGCCTCCCTCTGGTGGGGACTCATGGAGTTCCACGGAGCTCCCAAGGATGAAGTACCCAGAGACCCCTGGGAAGGCTCACTAAGGACTTGAACCTTGCAGAGGCGAGGCAGGTGCAGACTGGGGAATAGTGTGGTGGTGGTGGTGGTGGTGGTGGTGGTGGTGGAGAGGCGTTTCTAGGCCCACGGTCTCTAAGGTCCCCTTTCCCCAACATCCCCCCAAGAATTCCAGAAGAAGGTTTTCAACTCCCCCGGACAGGGCTCTCCAGCTTCACGCTCCTGGCTGCTTCTCCAATCAGCTCCCAGAAACTCCCAAACTCCAGTTTAGAGTCGTTACAGCTGCCCAAGTTGGCGATTTTCTCTTCGAGGCCGCAATTGCTCTGAGGGGAGGGAAGACACCACAGCTCAGGGAGGCAGCACCCTTTGATCCTCCTGCCGCACCCCTGCCCAGGGGCAGGAGGCGGGACCTGTGCCTACCTGGCACTGGCAGTTGGGAAGGGCTGGGGTTGCTAGTGCCAGGGGCCGTGTGGGTGGGGCCTTGGAGACCCGGAGGGGAAGTCAGGGCGCTGCCTGGGCGGGCCGCTCCCTCAGTACCGGCATGAGGTGGGGCAGCTGCTGGCTGACCAGGTCCCGTAGCTCGGAGGGGGTCAGCGTCTCCTTGCCACCCTCCACAGAGTACTGGTGGAAGTTCTTGATGAGGGTCTCAATGGCCCTCTCCACGTCACTGAATTCCTGGGCATCCTGAGGGCAGGGGACATCACTCATGTCAGGGAGGCTACGTCCACCCTAGGACACCCTACCGCCCCAAGGCCCTCAAGGCCAACAGGGCAGAAGAAAGCTGGGAGGCACAGAGGCTCCCACCCACTCCAGAGCCCGGCCTCCAACCCCCTTCCCCCCACTGGCCCCTGCCCTGCCTGAGCCACAAGTTGGGCAAGGCTTCCACCCCGTCACCCCCCAGCCCCCACCCAGGGCAGGTCCCAGCGTGCGGCAGACTCTCTCTTCCCAGGAGGGTTCCTTGTGTATCACCCCTGCGGGTACGAGAGAAGAGTCTGGGTCTCCCGAGCAAGGTCTAGAGTGTGGGGCAAGGCCAAGAAGAGGGGACACAGACCCTCAGGGTCGGGGAGTGGAGCATGGGAACAGAAAGTCCAGGCGCGAACGGGCCCACCTCAGCATTGGCTGACCGACACTGCCCCATGGTGACCGGTGTGCTCGTCCCGGTGAGAGCGCTGTTGTCCCACAGCAGGCTTCAGAGGAGCCGATGGCTCATGATCTGCCTGGAAGGAGGAAGACTGAGGGCAGGGGATGGCTCAGCATATCTTTCTCAACTGTCCCCTCTGGCTGTCCCCTCAATATTCTGTTCCTTGCTCAGGGGGTCAGAGCCAACTCCACACAAGGCCTGGTTCCTGTGAAGGATCCAGGAGCTGAGATCACAGCCCCCAGACCCCCCTATTCAGAGGGAATCCCTTGGGCCTCACCTTAGATCAGTCTTCCCACCATTCTCCTCTGCTACACACACACACACACACACACACACACATCATCATCATCATTGTCCAGGACCTGGCCCCTTGCGCTTCTCCCGGCAGGCCAGGGTAGAATAGGCTACTTGTGTCCTCTGGACAGGGGCAGCCCTTTGGCTGAAAAGGCCTATGTCTCCTTACCTGCTGGCAGCTGCTGGGACCGGACGCTAGGAGTCAGCTCACCTGAGCTCAGCTCTTATACTTGGGGGCAGGGAGGGAAGGCAGAGGGCTGGGCCTCATCCCTAAGCCACCCCTGCTATTGCAGCAGCCTGGGTGTGAGCCAGCCCTGTCGGCCCCACCCCCCGTTGGCCAGAGCCCCGAGAGCCTGCCCACTCTGCCATTGGAGGGAACCCTTGGAGGCTGGGGCTGGGTGGCCTCTGGCCCCAGACCAGCAAGCAGAGTCCAGGCAAGAGAAAGGGAAGGGGAGGTTGGGGAAGGCAGAAGGGGGCCTTGGCAAGACTGTGGGGTTGAGCCTGGGAAGAAAGGCCTGGAGGAATTGAAGTGGAGGGGCTTTGAGTCAGCATCAGGAAAGAAGGAAAAGCAGAGACTGATCAAGGCAGGGCTTGTGGTCCGGAGACATGTGAGTTGAGAGAGGTCCCCAGAGACCTCTCTGTCCTTTGATGTCTCTCTCTCTCTCTCTCTCTCTCTCTCTCTCTCTCACACACACACACACACTCACTCACTCACTCACATTCCTCCCACCAGGGCCAATTTGGGTAGTGACACCAAGCCTGCAGTCCCCATGGCCAACAGGTGAGGAAGGAGCCAGAGAAGGGCAGCCTGGCAGAGGGGCCACACTGAGTGTTGTCCTGACCCCCTTGGGGCTCCCCTCAGCCAGCGTGCACAGCATGTGTGAGCCAGCATGTGTGAGGCCCAGGTGAATGATCTGGCTGTTAACGACCTCTCCAAACTGGTTGGGCTGCCTACTCCTCCCTCCCCCAGAACCCCATGCCTTCCTGAACCCAACTCCCCCAATCCAGTGCGGGGGATGACATCCCAGGAAGCCTCGGCACACCCCAAGGGACCTCCTCACCTGACGGGGAGATGACGGGGAGAGGGAAGGGAGAGCGGCAGCAGAGGAGTTAGTGTGGGCCAAGGCAAGGATGAGGCGGGACCCAAAGCTGAAGTGTGACTCCCAATGCCCCTCCCTGTGTCTCCTCCTAGGCCTCCCCTGTACTTCTGGCCTCAATCGAGTGCATCTAAAAGCGTCTCTCCATGAAAAAGCCCTCCCTAGAATACCCCACTCTGTGTTCCTCTGAGAGCTCTCAGTCTGGGGACCTCTCTGAGGGTCTCTCAATCTGAGGGCTTCTCCAGGAGTGCCTCAACCAGGGGTCCCTCCGAAGAGTTTCTCGTCAAGTCTCTCCTAGGGTCTCTGGTTTGGGGGAAGCCCCCTGTGAGACCCACTCTGGAACGTCTCAGCCAAATGCCCCTCAGTGCCAGCCTAGGGGTCCTTCTGAGGTCTCTCAGTCTGAGGGCACTTAGATGGAAGGTCTCAACCTGGGAACCTTCCTTGGTGTGCGGTGGGGAGGTTGTCTCAGCCTGAAGGTTCCTCAGGAGTAATGGCTGTCCCAGAGGGACACCAGGCAGCGGCAGTGACAGCTGCGGGGAGGTGGTGCCTGCTGGGCTGCCCCACCCCTGCCCCCTCTGGTGGCGGGCAGTGCAAACCGCAAGCCCCTCGAGCCAAGAAGGGTGGGGAGAGGGGCGCCCGTCCCACAGTCTTGGTACCAGAACCTTGTGTCCATTCTTCTGCTTCACCCCTGCTATGGAGGGAGGGAGGAGAAGAGGGCCCCGTGGTCCCACACCGCCCATCCGGAGAGGATCCCAGTTCATCACAGAGGCTCTGGAATTTCAACCCAGTTCCACCTCTGCTTGTCTGCGAACTTCTCTAAAATCTGTTTCCTCATCTTCAATACAGAACTTAAAAACAGTACCTTTCCTCAAAGGGCTGTGAGAATCAACTCACAAAGACACCGCAGGAAAAGTGTTTAGTACTGTGCCTGGCACACAGCAAGTCCTCAACACAAGTTCACTGCTACCATTACCGTCCAATGACACAAACCCCAGGTAAAAGAAAAGTGTGAACTGAGACCGTGCCCCTGGGCCCCAGGAGGCACCTGGTGGAGTAAGAGTCACTTCGCCTGCCCCAGATGTCTGTTCTCTTCCTTTCATATACTCATTCATCAACCATTTGTTTATTTTATTTATTTATTTATTTTGAGAGAGAGAGAGAGAGAGAGAAAACCCCAAGCAGACTTCACACTGTCAGCACAGACCCTGATGCAGGGCTCAAATACGCAAACCATGGGATCATGACCTGAGCCGAAGTCAAGAGTCAGACGCTCGACTGACAGAGCCACCCAGGAGCCCCTCCTCAACCATTAATTTATTGAGCACCTCCCCGGTACAGTGCTTGATGCTGCAGAATGATATTCAAAGATGAGTAACATCCCTGGTCTACAAAGAGCTCAAAATTTTTGGACCCACTCTCAGACCACCTCCTCTCAAGAGAAGAAAGCAGGGTAGGGTGGGAACAAGAAACATTTGTGTTTCAAGGAGGAAGCTATATTGGGGGGAGTGGGGTTTTGCCTGGCCAGCCTGGCCCCATCCTGGTCAGGGGCTTTACTTCTTCCGGATCTCCAGGGCCTTCTCCTTCCGGATCTCCTTGGCCAGCTCCCCTATCAGTCTCCAGTACTCATGGAACTTGAGCTCGGAGTCCTGATTCACATCCAAGCTCTCCATCTTCTCATCTAAGGAGTCCACATCCTGAGGAGACATCAACAGGAAACGTGGGGTTAGAAAAGAGAGTTCCTGAGATAGGGAGAGAGGAAAGAACTGCTAATGTCCATTCTCTTCATCTAGGACCTGCCCCAGGCGTTCAGGACGAGGCTGCAGCCCCGGAACAGTGCCGCCCGGGTGTCTGGCAGTTACTAACCTCTCCAAACTGGTTAGGCTCCGAGGGCAGCAGCAGAGGGAGTAGAGGACCTGACTTGTAGTGTTTGCCAGCATGCAAATACTCCCACCGTGGCCGATTATGAACCACAACCATGAAGTCACCGAACACAGAGCTGGGAAGAGGTGCACACAATGAACTGTTGCCTACAGGTAAGATGGGCTCCGGCACACCACGGCACTTGGGATTTGCTCAAGGATGCTCAGGGAACCCATGCAGGCCATCCTCAGAGCCTTCTCAGGCCACCTTCTTCCTTCACAGAAAGCTAGGGAAATTCACAGTCCTAAGCCACTCATTTGTATAACCCTAACGTAGTCTCATTCTTTCCAGGTCGGTTATTAGCCTGGTGGATCAGGCGAATGGCAAAGACATGGGGTATCTGGTTTTCTGCAGGGTCTTTGACAAAGCCTCTCGTGACAGGCCTGTGACATCAAAGGATACTTTAAACTGAACCCATGATCAAAGGGTCTGTTGCTAGATGAACGATCACAACCAAAACATAAGCTGTTGAACAATGGATCAATGTCAAACTAGAGAAGGGTGCCACGGGCAGAGCCCAATACTCAATATTTTAATCAATGTGTGAATGAAGGCAGAGAAGTCTTACCAAATCTACAGAAGGCACGAAGCTAAAGCTCATTCATAGAAAAGCTAAGAAAGACCTTTTAAAAAGCCACATTCATGCTTAATCGTAAAATACTTACAAGCATTACCAGTGGAAGGCAAGATGCCCAGTGTAACATTATATTGGGAGGGGAAAAAACATACAATTAATCAAGAGAAAGAAATGAAAGGTATAAGTACTAGGAAAGAAAAGGAAAATTCACCTCTTATTATATTAGCAATTATATAATTGCTAATTATAAAAGGAAAAACCAAAACAGTGATAACAGCTAACATTTTTTTTTTTAATTTTTTTTTTTCAACGTTTATTTATTTTTTTTTGGGACAGAGAGAGACAGAGCATGAACGGGGGAGGGGCAGAGAGAGAGGGAGACACAGAATCGGAAACAGGCTCCAGGCTCTGAGCCATCCGCCCAGAGCCCGACGCGGGGCTCGAACTCACGGACCGCGAGATCGTGACCTGGCTGAAGTCGGACGCTTAACCGACTGCGCCACCCAGGCGCCCCCACAGCTAACATTTTAACAGTCGTAAGCACTTAATAGTGCCGACTGTTCCAAGCCTTATGCTAAACGCTTTACATGCCTTATTCCATTTATTTTTTTTTATTTTTATTTTTTAAATAGGGAATACTTCACAAATTTGCATATTATCCTTGCACAGGGGCCGTGCTAATCTTCTCTGTATTGTTCCAATTTTAGTATATGTTGTGCCGAAGCAAGCACAATGCCTTACTCCATTTAATCTTCATGATCTGCTAAAATGAAAGGGACCTTGTCCATCTTGTTCACCATTGTAACCCAAAGCCTACGACAGCATCAGGACAGGACATAATAGGTGCTCAATAAATATTGACCGAATAAATGCAAGACCAATGCAATGAGGAAGGTATTATTATGAGTCCATTTGACAGATAAGAAATTAAGGCTCATGGGGCATCTGACTGGCTCAGTCAGTTAAGTGTCGACTTCGGCTCGGGTCATGATCTCACAGTTTGTGGGTTCGAGCCCTATGTCTGGCTCTGTGCTAACAGTTCAGAGCCAGGAGCCTGCTCTTGATTCTGTGTTTCCCTCTCTCTCTCTCTCTGCCCCTCCCCTGCTGAT